AGGGTGGGTGTACTGCTCAGCAGTCAGCTCCATCCTCCTCTGTGGCTATGAGACCTGGCCATTGAGAGTGAAGGACATGAAAAGACTAGTTTCCTTTGATCATGGGTGTCTGCGTTCCATCTCCCGTGTGAAGTGGTATAATAGGGCGAGCAATATTGGGGTTAGGCGACAGTCGAGTGCTAGGTAAGGAGAGGAAATCAATCGATGAGGTTGTGAAGTTACACCGATTGAGATGGTTAGGACATGTGTTACTTATGCCTAGGCGTCGCCTTCCTCGATGGGCAGTGTTAGCTGACTGACATAGGATGGATCAGATAGTAAAACAGCCAGTGGTGGTCAAAACAAAACATAGCATCAGTCAATGAAATCCACAACAGTTAGTTTAAGCCACGTAGGAAGATGTAGACTTCCTGAGTAGTTGAGGTCCTCAGGACGGTAAAAACCAATGACAGCTGGAGACAATCGGTGATATGGCTCAAAATCGTTCTCAATGGCGCAGATGCATCCACTCCTTGTGACTTATATAATACCCAATAAAACTATATTGTTCTTCAATATTACTATTCTTTTTACCTCATACCTCTGTTCACTGTCTCTATTTTGCGTTTCTTTTTACATTCTTCTCTGGCTTTGTGTGCTGAGTGAAGTGTAGCGACTCGAACTGCTGCACATCGGTGCAAAGTTCTAAGTTGAAATCAGTCAATCATTCAGTCATATTAGTAGTAAATTTCATGTTTAGAATGAAATAAATAATACTAAGCCAGCATAGTTCCAACTACAGGCGGTATGAATGAAGATGCCTAAACCAGACAAGATTGGAAAACAAGACACAACTTCATTATTCTTAAAACACTGTAGACGTCTACTGCACTCAGTGTAAGGAAAAAAATTCATATCGTCAACAGTAATGTGACATTACTGCTTCTAAATCGTTCTGAATCTTGATGTACGTCTCACCAAAAGCACTTCTAACAGGTTACTGAAGCATTTTTTCAACACCTGTTCTTCTTAGCTCGATAATGAACGTCAATCTGTCGGTCAGAAAAGATTATCAATGAAGTCTATCAGAGAGACAAACAACAACTTATTGTTGTTCAGTGTAAATGCAGAAGGAAACAGAGGTGGATTGAACATACTCTGAGGCGATCGTTGAATGAAATCAAGCGCCAGCAGGGCCCCCGAGTGGAACCCCCACCTTTGAAAAACGACAAGTTGGGCGTCCAAGGGTGATATGGAAGAGATCATGTTGTAAATTTAATATTTGAACATATAGACATTTAGATATCGAATGATAACTTTCTCTATTGTGTGCGTTAGTAGTGAATTTCAGTTTCAAAGTGAAATAAAAACAATGCAACACCTAGACAGTTGCGTTTCAGTTACATGCAGGACGAATAAGGATGTCAAAGTCAGTCAGTATCGGGAAGGCAAGACAAGTAATCATTACTCCGCATACAGAGTAACAGACAAGATCAGAATTTACAACACATGTCAAGCCAGTCAGTTCTTCCCTATGATTCGCAGGCTTGACGCGTATATCACCAAAAACCTTTACAAAAGGCTGAAAACTTTCATGAAAACTTCTCGTCACCCAATACTGAGGAGGATCAGATGGCAACTAGAAAGGGTTGCCAACAAAAACTCTGGGGGCTAACCAACTAAGAACCCGTAGCACAAAAAATATGCAGAAACACATAGACACGGATTGAAGATAACCGGAGACGACCACTGGGTGTTATCAAGCACAAGGCCATTGCGGGAATGGGACCTCAGGGAGAAAAGACGAGTTAGGAGTGGGTCAGGAGGTGACGTGGAGGACATTATATGAGAATGAGATGAAAACTTTTAGGAGCTAACTAAACAGGACCGCAGAGAGTAGAATAAAATAGAGATGTGTTGTTGAAGTACTATATTTCACTTGAAATGCAAGGGAATAAAAATATCTTCAAGCCTCAGTGTGAAGGGATTTGATTCATTTTAGGTTTGACCACGGATTGACATTAGTTAGGAAACCACTGAAAACCTCCAGGGAATACTGGACAACTGTTTTTTCCTCCTAGCTCCAAACTCTCCGGCTGCACGCACTAAACCACGGTTAGCAATCAGGACCTTTGGTTCGCAAGGCAACCTCACAGACAATTCAGCCATTGGGATCCGATTCAATTGTCTACGAAATCCAACCTCTTACTATTCTCAATTTTAGCCCAACCACCAGGAAATATCACCAGCGAGTATTTATCCTCACACTCGACTTGCTGGACCCCACTGGTTATGACTTCTTACTAGAACACAGGGAAGGTTCTAGGTATAAACTCTGGTGGATGCGTGCTGATGAAGAGTCCTAGATAAGGACGAAAAAGTTTGTCAAGTATCCCCTGCTGGTTTCAGCTGTTCTTCAACTGATATCAGTGGTTCATTAAACTTGAAATTATAATAATAATATAATAAAATACCAAAGGATTAACTAGAATGCTATTTTCTAGTTAAAACTGTCTTTTTAATGAAATTAAGTTAGTGAGGAATTACAAGCTTTCTGTACCAGTGAAGCTAAAACATTCAAAGTAATACTGCTGCATAAGTAACGTCTTTGGAGTTACATCCAAAGGAGGTGAGAAAAATAATAGTAAAATAAATAATATTTATTGAATATCATTATTTTTTAGTCTAATAACATAACTGACTGACTGATTAACATTTCAACGTGAAACTTTGCACAAAACACCAACACTTCATGTCAGCTTACTTCGTATAGCACTAATGCACATGAACGATAGTTGGCTCAGATTTACTGAAGAAAGAATAACTAAATGCAAGATAACAAGAATTTACTGGATGTAGAACTTCACTGAGAATGATTATGAGTCATGTCAATAACAGTCACAGGTCACTGATTCTAAGCTTCTCAGAAAACCGAGCTACACGGTCTACGCCTCCCTACATGGCTGGCTCAAACCTCTGTCTCTCTGTCTGTTTTCGACATAGAACTTTGCACATATGTGCGGCAGTTCAAGTCACCACACTCCCTTCATGTAGCACACAAAGGAAGAGAAGAAAGTAGGAGAAATGCATAGTATAGACAGTAAACAGAGGTGTGAGACAAAGGTATAGTGATAACGAAGAACAAAACAGCTTCATTGGAAATCATAAGTCACAAGGAGTGGATGCATCTGCGCCACTGAGAACGATTTTGAGCCATATCACCGATTATCTCCATCTATAACAGATGGAGATAATCGGTTATTGATTTTTAACCATCCCGAGGACCCCAGCCAGGAAGTCTACATCTACCTACGTGGCTTAGACTAACTGTCATAGATTTCATTGACTTGTGCCATGTTTTGGTTTGACCGCCGCTAGTTCTCTTCCAGCCTGACCCTATGTCAGCTAACATTGCCCATCGAGGAAGGCGATGGCAAGGCGTGCGTAACACATGTCCTAACCATCTCAGTCGATGTAATTTCACAGCCTCGTCGATTGATTCCCCTCCTTACCTAGAAATCTACCGATGCCTAACCTCAGTATTGCTCACCTTATTATGCCACCTAACACGGGAGATAGAACGCAGACACCTATGATCAAAAACAGCTAGCCTTTTCATGTTTCCGACTCTCAGTGGCCAGGTCTCACAGCCATAAAGGAGGACTGTTGAGCAGTACACACATCCTTTCGTTGATAGCTGGATATCACGCCCACACCAGAGTTAACGTAAGTTTACGTATATGAAACTAGCCTTTGGTATCCATGCTGAGATTTCGTCAGTGATCAACCCGTTGGGGCTGATGGTACTTCCCATGTAAGTGAAGCCGTCAACGTGCTCCACCACTTCACTTCCTATTTCTAATCTAGGAGTCGGTGTAGTCCAATCTTGTGACATCACCTTACATTTTACAGAGGCGAATCGCATGCCAAACATACGAAGATTGTTACTCAAGGTGTTCAGAAGATTCTGCATTTTGTCAGCGTCCTAGCCTAGAATGACTGTATCGTCCGCATATTCTAAGTCGACGAGATTATTCCCTGGTAGCAAGTCAATCCCTGAGTCGCTGAAGTGTGTTAGGGTTAAGTCCATTAGTACGTCTATGATGAAGTTGAATAGGAATGGGGATAATGGGCATCCTTGACGGACGCCACTAGTCGTCACCACTTCAGATGACAACTCGCCGTAAGCCCTCACCTGGCTGCATGAGTACGAGTAGAGTGCCTTAATCAGTGCAATGTATTTTCTCGGCATTCCCTTTACAGCCAAACATCGCCAGAGAACCCCGTGGTCGGCAGAATCGAATGCCGCCTTTAGGTCAAGAAATATAATGATTGTTGGAGGCCGGTAGGAACGCCTATGTTCTAGAATCTGGCTCAAACCAAATGTCAAAAACTTCATGGATTGATGCAAAATTGTGGATTTGACCACAGCAAATGTTTTTCAGCCTAATCCAATGTCAGCCCTCATTGTTCCGCACGAGAAGCGATGGATTCTTATGTACAATGCGCGTCTTACGCACCTCTCAATCAATTCAACATATTAAGGCTATTGTTTTTTTCAAAATATGCTGTCTAATATGACAAGCAAAAAATACAAATATAAATTGATATCCGCGTAATTGAAAACACATAATCTTCTAGTCTGATTACAAAATAACATCAGTTAGAAGATTATTCAAAACCATGGAGTACTGCATATTTGTTTCGTTCCAGTTTGGGGCTCATTGTCAGCACACATGTAATGACCTCCCCAGGGATCGGGACAGGAAACCTCACGTTACACGTTACGAATTCACTGATCATTCACCCATCGTATCGTCACAGATTCCACACGTTTAACAGCTTTATGGAAAGAACATCATGGCTGTTTTTTTTTAAATCTGTCTATGTCCAAAGTTTCTCAGATGAAGTCGTTAATAAACGTTAAACTCTGTTTTTATGTCCATACCAAGTTGATGAGATTACTAACAGAATACAATGTGAAGCATTTAAATAGTAAATACTAAATATATAAAACTTACTTATGCTCTGGATCATACTGAATTGCATAAACTGAAGGTTGTATAGACGAATCTGCATAGCGTCTTATTAATTTACCATCCAATGTATAACAAAGTACAGCTGCATTTTCTCGGTCAGCTGCACATACTTGTTCAAGGCTACCATCTTCATCACTAGGAATAATAGTCAAACTGTGTACCACTTTGAAATCGTATCTATTCAAATCCATATTTGCTTCATCATTTGACTCTGTATACAGAAGGTCAGGTGACCAATAGCCTTGAGATACAGGTCTAGGTATATGCGGTAGATAACTCTGATAGTCTTGATTATTACCTAAACCTATGGCTGACCATTCTGTTAAATAATCACCATTTGATGAAAATTTCACAATTCTTGAATTGCAGTAACCGTCAGCAACGAAAATATCACCCTAGATAAAGAGTAAAATAAAAAATACATACATATTTGAAGCTTTCAAAAGTTATTCTGTCGGGATTTGATTTGTCTCAAGTTTGACCACTGACTGAAAACCAGAGAAGGCTGGGTAGATGTTTCATCCCTCCCAGTCTGTGACTCATCATCAGTACACACTCACCGGGGTTCGAATCCAGGACCTACCGGATATAAGTTGAGCTTGTGGATCGCTCAACCATTCGGAACTGACTCAATTCTACCTTTTACCAATTTGTGATATTAACGCAGCTACTAGCGAGTGTCGTCGACGAGTATTTGTCCTGACTCCCGATCAGGTAGAAACCATTGGTCGCAACTTCACCTGACTAGAACTCCAAGCAATTTCATCCTGAAGCCAGTCCCTAACGAGCATCAGGTTAATTTTCAAGATTTAGTTTGTGGGGAATTGATATCAATCCGTGGGCAAACTTGAAATAGATTTGAAGTTTATTACCGTATATGAGTTGTCTTAACATGAAACCATTGGAATTAACAGGACATTTGCCTAAACAGTTATAATAAATCAAGGTGTAGAATAAAGCTGATAAATGGAATCGGTATTGTAATCAACGTATATCAAAGTAAATGTTTCAAATCATCTAAAACCTACTTGAACATAACTATTTAGCCATTTTCTCAAACTTCTCAGAACTCCTCATCTATGTTCTCTTGCAGGAATGACTTAGATACCATGTCAACTTATCACTAAGTTATCAAAATGAAATGAAATAAACTATGTTTTCACTAGGTATGTCATGCAGTGAACACTTGTGTCTTGCGCCTTCAGTGAAACAGACCGTTTCGGAAAGCATATCTCCACTTTACTCCTTTCCCGGACTTCATTCTCAGTTGGTTCAAAAATTCTGCAATAGGCCTTTATCTCCTCTTCATATAATCTCCTCCATGTCATCCTTGCACCCTAATCCAACTCGTCGTTCTCCCCTTGTGGGCCTGCTTGACACGTGAAGTCACTCAACGGTCTCCTGAGTGCACGCTCAATTCTTCTCCATTTACGTCTGACTCTTATAGGGATTTCAGCCATTTCGCTCTCAACAGTCAGTTTCTTTATATGTACTGAGTGGATCAAATTGTAGACAAGTGGGTTTTCAAGGAACAAGTGCACGACCATGCAATGTAGTGTGATTGTCTATTTCCCTACTCTCTTCATACCACTGTTAATAAATAAATCATCGAAAGGCCGTGTGGGTGGTGTTCTCCATTCTCTAGTTGATGCGGTATTAGGAATAGTTCTGCCACCAGGTTAGGTGGGCTCGGCTGAAGAGCCAGCAGGTAGTGTGACCAAAGCTCAGGTCTAGCAGGATAGATGGCCACACCAAAATTGTGAGAGTTATTTTCAGTTGAAGCCGATCAGAAACGACCTCAAAGTTGTTCAAGCGGCCTGACTAATCGGTTTCTCAGACTTGGTCAGCACTTTCTCGCCCTACATCATTATCCAACGCTTGTCATATTATGTTGTCACGCTATAAACTGCAAATCCTCAATAATTTTGGTTACACTTTCTGGGGGATATCTCAAATCAATTCGATAAAAGCAATACAAGCTCATAGTATCAAAATGCTACTGGATAATAAATACATTCATACAACAGGAAGTAATGCAGGCGAGATTTGATCGAATTGGATTTTTCGAAATAGTATTTATTATGCGATCCATCTCCATTTCCTACTACATATTTGTTGTACAATTGACTCTTGCTTGTTAGTTTGTTCCCACGGTTTCCTGCTAGCCGCTGGCTTCCATTCTGGCTGGCTGACCGGCTGACCATTTGATCTTCAGTATGGAGCCAGCCAGCGAAGTGGGTACATGTTGATAAAAGTCTTCAACTTGTTGGAAATCCCAGCCTAGTTAACTAGCTTTCTAGTTTTCTAGCCGGTCCCGAGCTGGGGTAAAGAGAGAGGGTTGGGCGTGGGGCTAGCAACCCTTCACCACAAAAGCTATCAAACCGCGAGAGAAACTTCAACACATCAAAAATATATTAAAAATATATAAATTTTGCAATTCTTAAATCTCCCCAAAGAAACCTTAATTAACGTGATATTTTTATAAAATTTAAAATACAAATTTAAAAATTCTTCCTCTTAGAAAAACTTATGACTTGCACAGAAGTTTATCAGTAACAGCTGCCTCACTTGGATCTATCCGGCAATTTCCTGATCGTTTCTTTTGGTTTCACAGCCTTCATCTAACAGCCATGATCTATCGAAATATCCGAATCTAGAGAGCCGCCTATTGTATGAGGAAGTTTAAAAACACTTTAATGAAGGTACAAACTTGTTTTAGTTTGCTTGTCTGTGACTATGTGAAATAACAGCAAAGACTGTCATGTGGTATCACTGAAGACGTTGTTCATGAAATACTCAGTTGTTGTATCAATTTGAAAACATTCCGATTACTTCATATAAAACGTGAACTTACTTTACTTGATATTGCCACATCTGCCGGTTGACAGAACTGTCTTCTATTATTACCCGGTCTACCTGGTAAACCAAGAGTTAGACTAGGTTTATCCCATTTCATCCAATCGAATTTAAACACTTGATGTAAAGCGACGTCAGTTATCCATACAGCTGTCGGTTGTCCATTCATTATTCGTCTACGTTGTTGTTCACCGCCTCCACGACTTGTTGTATTACCATTACCATCCATAAAATAACTAAGTGTTATACTATGCGGTAAAATAAACATATTCTTTCCCCATTTCTGTTCAATACTACCTGTTAAAGGATTCACGTGTAGAACTGTTTCTGTCTTGATATAATCAGCTTCATTTTGATAGATGAAATGCTTATTAAATGAATCATACGTCCATATATTAGAACCACGATGTAGAATAATTAATTCATGCTGACCATTGTTGCTCTTTGCTCTTGTCTCCACACTACTAGCCTGTAAATATACACAATATCGTTTTAAAATGAGCAGAGAGGGTGATTACTATGTTTAATATAAAGGGTAATATTTTACCACAAAAAGAAAATAAGAATTGAGAATTTATATTGTTGATGTATACATGTCAGTAGCAACGGAAAACTCAGAGAGGTGTTAGAAGGAAAGGAGTAAGACAAGACTGCCTGCCTATTATCACCGATGATATTCTTAATTGTGGTGCACCGGATTATGCCTTATGCTTTGCATGGGAGTGAGGAGACAGGCTTACGCTGGACCGATAAGGCGACTCCATCTAGAAGACCTGTATTTTGAGGAGGAGGAGGAGGATTTATATTTGATCTCACACAAAATCAAAGACTTACAGGCAAAAACCAACAAACTGGCCGAAGAGGCAGCGAAGACAGGACTCCAGGTGAACATAGAGAAGGTGGAGACGGAGGTGATGAGAATAACCAACCAATTAAGAGTAACAACATCAACAACAACCAGCACCAATCACCATCAACGGGAGAGATTTGACAGAGGTTACTTCTTTCACTTATCTGGCCAGGAAGCACGACTTCAACCACAGATGGAGAGCATGTGTGAAGATGTCAAAGGCAACAAGAATCGGAAAGGCAAGGTCCGCCTTGATCAACCTAAAACCAGTTTAGACATCTTCTGCACTAACTCAGTCTGTATAAACAACAAGATTCGGATTTTATCAACAACTACCCACTTCGATGGCTGGCTCTATACTAAAGACCGAATGGCCAGCCGGCCAACCAGCCAGCCAGAAAGAATAAGCAGCAAGAAACTGTGGGAACAAACCAACAAACAAAAGTCGATTGTATAACAAATATGTAGGAGAAAATGGAGATACACCGGGAACAAGCTGAGGAGACCGTCGAATGACGTCGCGTGGAATGCAGGCGATCCATCAGTCAAGTGGAATCTCAACAGGAAGCGACGAATGGGTCGTCGTAGTGAGGTTGACATGGAGGAGATCTTACGAGGAGGAGGTGGGAAATTATGCACAATCGTGGACCCAGCCGAAGAAGACGGTAACAAATGGAACAGGGAAGACATGTGTAGTTGAAGCCCTATATTCCACTTGGAACCCAAGGGAAGAATAATAACAGTATAATAATTTTTGGGCATCATATATCAACAGACCATCGTCCTGTTTAATACTGCTTATGTTGATATGAATTGAATGCAATAATTCATATCAATCAATCACTAGAATATAGTGTCATGCAAATATGCCTCATTTCTTAACGACCAATACTTATCGTATCAAGTTAAACATATATTCTGATCCCTGTAATTTCTGCTTTCGAAGTAAACTCTTGATAGACGGGATACTATATATATATAACACAGGGCTGACTACCATCACCGATGATATTCCTGATTGCATTGGACTGGATCATGAGAGAAGACGGACATATGTCAGACCGACAAGTAGCTTTGTTCCAGTCTATTTTAAGAACTTAATCAGAACATTGTTCAATAGAGCGTGTAAAATTTGTTTTGACAGTAAAATTAAATATGAAATAAAGAAATTGAAGAATATTTTATATAAGAAAGAATATCCTGTGAAGCTGCTCAATACATATTTTAAAAGGATAAGCTCCAATAAAACTACCCAAACAGTTTCAAAGAAAACTGTACATATCAAACTGTCATCTAAGGGAAATAATGTACAAAAAGTATTTAAAACAATTAGTTCCCTTTATGAATTTAGATAAAGCAATAAGAAGATTTAATTTGTCTGAATCGTGTAAGGTATTTGCGCAACACATTTCGAACAATTTGATTATCACACACGGACTTGTCATATCATAATAATTGAGAATGTGAAGCCAATCTATCTATCTAAGCCCTTCGAACATGCGAAAAATGATGTCACATCCCATTGTATTTACCAATTTGAACGTACGTGTGGACACATATACATAGCGAGGACTCATCGATCTCTGCAAGTAAGGGCTGAATTCAGAGCATATTCCTAAATGGCTCCAGAAACAAATGAAATCTTCAGAACACATCAATGGTGAGAACAGGAGACCTAGTTCCTCTATTGCGAAACATGTTATAGAGAGAGGATATAAAATTAGCGTTAACACATCTTTTAAACCTATCTATAAAACGTGTTTGGGGCGTATCCTAAAGCTTGTGGAAGCCCCAGCTGACAATTAGAAAGTTTAGACTACCTTTATGCGTTCAAAAACAATTCATCATCACACTAAACCTTCTTTGGAAAACTTTGTTTTGATACCACAGTAGATGTACTATTACTTCTGCTATTTGGTTTAGTGGTTTTCATTGTTATTTTGACCTTGAATATATCCCTTTAACTTGACCTAAGTCTATTTTCTCACCTCTTAACTCTTTATCAGGAAAACTTATTATGCTGCAAAACTAATGTTCCTTAGTACCACAAAGCGGGTACTTCAACACCTTAAGAGAAACCAGTCACCAATCCTCGAGACTTCAAACTGCATACGGCATTTTGAGAGTTTATGTGGAAGAAGACGCATAAGCAGTGTGCAAAGGCAATTTTCTACTAGCATGATGAAGCATTTTCCCAAACTGGCTGAAAACAGCTGAAGTTAAAGTGCAAAAATGTTCAATGATATTGACGCTGTCAACTAATTCACTGCTGTCAGCAGAGAAACAAAAAAAGATTCCTGCAGAGGCTTTTGCAATTAAGTTTTATAAACCGAGTCTCTATCAAGAGAATGTTGATCACTATGAATCTACCATGGTAATATAATTTACTTATTAACTGCTATTGATATTATTATTAATACTTTAATCTACCTCTCATTAATTTAATAATAAGCAAAGAAAATGAAAAAAAAATAAGAGGGATGAGGGGAAGAGGTACTCTTGGTGAGAAGAAGAAACATTAATCCAAGTATGGCCACAGTGGGAACAACGTCTGGACGTGTTCCTTTTGGACGTAAGTGAACTGTACGTGATAACGACTTCAGAATTCGGTATATAACCCTGATGGCTGTGTTAGCATCGATGCGATGTCCAGTATCGACCAAGTGTGACAGGATCGAGCTTTTTAAGCATTTCATTTCCCCCTTGCTGAACCAAGCTGGTAAATCTTCTCGAACCCATTGACGAAACAGAACTTTCTACTCTGCACATCTGTTCCTATCCTTCGGTAGCCGTCCAGTGTTCACCCGACAACTGTAAGATGTCTTATCTAACCTTAGCTCTTCCTCATGTATATACCATTTCAACTGTTCCTATGGTTTATGTTATATAGGGCGTACGATTAGGCAGGTTCGTCTACGGGTTCAAGAACATTTACCAGCTTGGTTCAGCAAGGGGGAAATGAAATGCTTAAAAAGCTCGATCCTGTCACACTTGGTCGATACTGGACATCGCATCGATGCTAACACAGCCATCAGGGTTATATACCGAATTCTGAAGTCGTTATCACGTACAGTTCGCTTACGTCGCCTACATAAAGCTGAAGCATTTGCAGTACGATCGACTAAACCGGAACTTTGTGCCCAAAAAGAACACGTCCAGACGTTGTTCCTACTGTGGCAAAACTTGGATTTGTGTTTCTTCTTCTCACCAAGGCTACTTCTTCCCCTTATGCCTCTTGGTTTTTTTTCTTTTGCTTTGCTTTTTATCACAATTATCATTATCCATTATGATTTATACCCTTCATCCAAACATTCTCTTATTATTTTCCCAAATAGTTAGCATCGATTGGGATGGTTTGTACTGAATATGCTCCCTGAGTTAACTCAACGTGGTTTCAACCCTGATGAGATCAACCCCCAAAAATGATTATCCAGTATTTAGGCTAATTCGATATGGCTAGCAAGCACTACTACTGGTTGATGTGGATGCTGTCCAACTACTTACATAATCAATCAGTAGTATATGGCATACTATGTTATAGGCTTATAGCTCGGACTCGAATACATTACAGACATGGAAGAATACATGATTATTGCATACACTTAGTTTTTGTCTCCAAAATAATGTAATTGACAAAAGGCAGAAACTGGTACTGTATGAAAGGTGTGGATAGAAGTGATAAAGATTCCTGTAATATAATCTGCAAATAATCGTCTGAAGAATTTGACTATTCAATATTTAACCAGTAATATATTTATACATATATACACTCGGACATCCAAACATTCATAGCACAACTAAAATATCAGGACGTGCTGCGTTAATTTTTCTTCACGGATACTTTTAAGATCTATTATTGTGGTTATTATTATTACTGTCTTAGGTTCCGAGTGGAACATTGGGCTTCCGCAGATAATCTCCATTTTATCCTGTCTTTTGCAATCATCTTTAACCGGCCCCATGATTGCCCACAAGCTCTAATCTCCTCCTCACGGGATTTCGTCCACTGTTTTTCTTTAGCCAACGCCCAACTCATCGTTTCCTATTCGTGTGCCACTTGATAGTCTAGCGTGTGACGTCATTAAACGGTCGTCCATCTCCATTCAATTCTGCATATTGCTTGAACAACAGTTTCATGTTTCGTCTGTTACTAGAGTTCCTTGTTGCTTATCCTTTCTGACCAGTGTTTAGGAAGTTGTTGATGAAAGCCTTCGGTTGCCTGTTGAAAATGCTTTAGGTGATGCACCCGCCAAGTCTCTGAACCACATACACCCAACAACTGACTTCAGTTTAGTGTTAAAAATCCAAATTGTGTTCCTCATGAACAGGGCATCAGATTAACACACTAATTTTTGATTAAGGTAGGTCTGTCTTGCTTTTCCAACCCTTTCTGGATTTGATATCCTCATCCAAAGTGTCTATAGTTCAAACGATGTTCCCTAGGTAAATGAAAGAAGTGCCCTCTTTGAAATTTCTCGCTTCGACGGTGACTGGTGCCTGTTATTGTTGGTTAGGTACCTTCATCATCACTATCTTTCCTAAGTACAACTGAATTCCTGTCTTCGGTGCTTGCTGCTTCTCCTATCAACTTGATGGTTCACTCCTGTATATCTTCAAGTTTGTGCAACATTAAACATAAATTATCCACGAAGTCTAGATCTTTCACTGTCTTCCCGTTGAACTGACATATGTCCGTCTTCTCTCATGATCTAGTCCAAAGTAATCAGGAAAAGCATCTAAGATAGTAGTCAGTCTTGTTTTACTCCTTCCTGTCTTCACTTTACCGTTGTGAATCACTTGATATGTGGCATTATCATGTAGCTGGTGAATGAGGTTTATAAAGATTTGTGGCAGTCCACTCCGCTGTGTTAAAGTAGTCAGAAAATCACTTCATGATTGACGTTATGGAAGGCTTTTTCAAAGTTGATGAAGTTCAGGTAAATAGCTGATCGCTATTCTTTGCCCTGTCCAATATTGATGCATAGCATTGCAATTTTGTACGCACGTGATATTCCCTTTCTGAATCCAGCTTGTTTCTGGCAAACATTTGCGCATCCAGAAGGTCAACGAGCTCACCATTTGTCCTGGAAGTCCTAGGTTTGATCCCTAGTTGCTGGATTGTGGTAAAGTATTGTAGAAGAGTTCCAAAATAGGACGAAACAGATGTCTAGTACTGCTTGGTTTTAAATGATCTCTCCAAATGATGTCGGTTAGTGATGAAAATTGAACAGTTGATGTTCATCGTTCGGACGAAATTCCACAGTTTGCGTTCATTTAAGTGTAAAACCTTCAATGACTGTATTTATCCATTAAAAATAAAGTTAGTGTTCACTAATAAATTACAAATTAATCACTGTGAACATACCTGGCCTAGTTTGATTGTATCATGAAGTAACACATTTTCTGATATTGATGATGGTTGAATAATTTCTATAGGATTCCTTGTAGATAATAACATTTTAGATGACTTTTCTGAATCACTACTACCAGGAGGTTTGGTTACCAGAGATGACTTCCTTGCGGATTCACTAGCGTTCTCTTGTATCAAATTCCATTGTGACTCATATACGTCTGAAGTACAAAAACCTCCTTGGTCCCCAAAAGTATTGAAAGCGCTGGTATAGACAATGAAAATTTAAAAAAGAAATTCAATATACAACTTGAGTAATAAACAAAAAGGGAATCGTTCAGCGTTTCACATTTAACAACAAATTGAAAAAGACAAAAGGAAGCGGTAAAGTTTGTTCATATGGATTCAGTTTATTTCACATTTGTTCACGGATTGATGTCATTTAGTGAACCATAGAAAAATAGCAAGTACTGGACAGCTATTTAGCACTAGTTTGGCACCCTTCAGCGGTACGCACCCACCAGCGTTCGAACGCAAGACCTTCCTGTGGCTCTAGTGAGAAGTCGTGATTAGTGGCGTCTGCCAGGTTGGGAGTGAGGACAAATATTCGCCAATGACATTGGCTGCTGGTCGGGATAAAATCACAAATCGGTAGAAGGTAGAATTCATGGACTGACCATTGGGTCGGTTCCCAGTGGCTGAATGGTCCATATGCTAGCTAAAATCATTGGAGAGTATTTGACCTCACATCCGACAACGGGGTGGAACACGGTTGGTCATGACTTCTCACTACGACTTCGGACAACTTCATCCTGTAGTCAGTCACTAGTGGGGATTAGATTAAATTTTTATGGTCAACAGGTTCACCCTGTAAAATGAAGTTCTTTAGTTCATTTCCTAACGGTGGAGTTATGCATGCGTACTGATGAAGAGTCCCCAGACAGGACGAAGCATCTGTTTGGTATTAGGTGGTCCTCTAAATGAAGTCATTTCGTGACCAAACTTGAAATCATTATTCATGTCAGTTATTAGCTTTGTGTACCCTCAGAATTATATAAGTTTTGTCCTAGACGAAGCAACTTGCGTTAGTCTTTTATTTTCAAATTTAATAGACCTATTTTTCGTTTTGTAATGAAAACAAAACCTGTATAATAAACATTAATCAATTTTTATTTTCTTTACTTGCAGAAAGATAATCAGGAGTCAATGATATGGATCAAGAGATACAACAACTGCAGGATCTAAACCTTAGCGAAGGCAAGACTGTTAAACTCTAAGACTGGACCCGCGCACTTTTTAAAACTGATTCTCGTGGAATAAACGTTCTCTGCACAGCTGGTGTTCTGGCTTCCTTATCTGTGTGCCTGCTGCTTTGCTTGTTACAAAATGGTATCGGAGGTGCTCTAAACTCAGTCTCAACATGAAATCAGACTCATATGAACTTCTTGAAATATGCTCTGCCCATAAAGTCAACAAACATCCTTCAACCACATAACACAATCTTCCTGAGCGAGAACTCACGCCTCTGAACATCAACAGTGACTACGAGTTGTGGAAATTCCGTATGGAATCTCTCCTTACAGGTCTCTACCCGTAAGGTCAGTACAACCAAATCATGCTAGCATTGAGTGATGATGCCTTATGTAGTGCAATCACTGGGGGATGCAGAACACTCAGCGAAAACTGGCGCATATTGGATGAGTGCTGCTGCGAAACCCTCTAGCTCCTGAGTGTACATGCACTCCTTCAATAAGTGGAAGAGACGTCTTCCAACTACATTCACCAACTTCTCGAGATTGAGTCGTACGCTTTACCAACTCTCTCCAAAGTGAGTCACGATGAGACTATTTGTTGTATTTTCATTATCTATGTGCCTACTGCTTTGTCTGTTACAGTTTGACCACAGTGTATATTTTTCACTTTAAATTAACGCATAACAAAAATTGATTTGAAAGAGTATTCTTAGAAATTACACACACTACAGACGCCGATTCACTTCAGTCAACTGTAAGGTTGAATATGAATTATTAACACGAATAAACATGTTTCTAACTCCAATGGAAAATAAAAATTTCATTGTGCCTACTGCATGACACGTTTCTTGTAGAGAATTCATGCTTTGTATATCATTTTTATGTAGAAATCAATGAAACAGCATAAATACTTTGGATTGAATAAAAGTAGTACTGACGTTTTACTAGACAATTTAGCCTCTCAGTTTCTAGATAAAGTTAAAATCAGTCTATAAGAATACAAGCAGTGTATCTGTTCTTAGTAAAACGCGACCTGAATAGTTTTCTACTTAAAATGCTTTGAAAAACAATTGTCTACTCGACAGAAGAGTATTTGCTTCAAGATAATATAAGCGTAAACTTTTACAAGTTTTGAGTCAAAACGCTTTGAGTATAGAATAAACGTTTATGTTTTGAAGTTATTAGCAATAGTAAATAAGTTTGATGTAGGTGTACTCAATAATATTATATTCTACTTTAATCCGTGAAAGTATATCACAGTAGTCAAGGTACACTACTCAAACTCACTTAGATAAATCTAAGAGCTTACACACCAAGAGTTTGCCATCTGAAGTGATGACAACCCAGTGATGTTCGTCAAGGATGCCCATTGTCCCTATATTTGTTTAATTCCATCAGACATATGCTAGTGGAATTCAGTCTAACTGACTTTAGAGACTTAAGGATTGATTTGTCTCTAAGGAACAATCTTTTATGGAGATGATATTCTCCTCTTAGGTGACGATGTTAACAAAATGAAGTTTTATAAACAGCATGGGCAGAAATCTTCGAAGATTTGACATGCGATTCAATCCTGTCAAATGTAAAGTGATGCTCCAGGATTGCTATGCACCGAATTCCATTTTAAAGATAGTCAATGAGGTGGTTAAGCATGTGTTGACCACTTCACTTATTCGAAAAGTTGACGAAATCTCAATGCATTTGCATTTGTGTTATCACTTGTGTAGACGTGATATCTGTCCGTTGACCAAAGGAAGTGTGTTCTATGCAGCGGTTCGTTCTATTCTCCTTCATGACTGTGAGAAATAGCCATTGAGACTGAAAGATATTAAAAGATTAGCTATCTTAAACCAGAGATCTTCGTGTTCAATCTCCCATGTATTAAGCGGTATAAAATATGGTGAGCAACATTGAGATTAGCCATCGAGTGTTAGATAGGGAGGGAAAGTCAACCACCAATGAATTTATGAATCTACACCGACCAAGATGGCTAGGATGTGGGTCGCACATTCCGAGTCACCGTTTTCCCCGGCAGGTAATGCAAGATGACATTGGATTAAGTTGAAAAAGTGTTAGAGGTGGCCAGACCAAAACCTGGAATCAATCTGTAAAGTCCTTTCGAGTTGTTTTCAGCCATGTGAAGAGGTATGAACTACCACCTATTTGGCAACTTTGGGGTGCTAACAACCAATGATTGAAGAATATTCGTGCTACAGCTCAAAATCTTTCTTGACGACCTCCTATATTCATTATACCGTTATGTTTTCCTACGTTATTCTTCTTTCTCCTGAACATTTCTGCTTATTATCGTTAGTCTGAATAAGCTTTTACTATCTTTTCTCTACCTTTTTATGCTACATCGAGCATATTAATTTGAACGGTTGCATCTCTGTGTCAAGCTCTATGTTTAAAACTGAGTCAGTCAGTCTGTCAGTTAATAGAATCACAAAATAAACACTATCAAACTACTGATTTTTAGCATCCCACAGACTTCATTCAGACAGTTGACTCGTTCTTACTCCACGAAATTCAACAGCCAAAGACTTCATGGATTGGTTACCTTATCAATAATGATATTAACAAATCATTAAAATGTATCTTCATTACATGGAAAAAAACCAACTCCATAGCTGATTTGTGAAGATGAAACAAGCTACAATCAATAAATGGCTTGTATTATCTATCGATCACTGTTATCAGTAATTATTAGTAGCTTATCAGAGGCGTCTATCAAGTTTTGTTTATCCACTCTCATATAAACATGTTGTCTTTCAATTAATTGAGCAAAGAGTTAAGAAATGTTCGATAAAGGCATTTTAATAAGACAAAAAAATAAATAAATCAAAATGGAACTCTTTGATGTGACTGTTTTCTATCCACACCTAAATTCAATGAACGATAACCCCCGTTAGAGGAAATGTATTCAGTGAAGATGGTCCACCAGAAAGGATAAGCGACCAAAGAACTCTACAGTGTAACGAACTAGTCGAGTGGCAATCGTTCAATAAATATTCAGAAGGAAATGAAAATAGATTGGACACATGCTGAAGAGACAGTTGATTGATGTCATGGGCCATGCAGGTCCTTGACTGGAACTCTAATGGGAAGTGACGATTCGAGTGTAGGCCGGAGAGTGACATGGAGGAGATCGTGTGAGAAAGGAATGGAAGTTTATGGACAATCGTGGAGCCAAATAAAAAGGACTTTGGAGTGGGACGTAGGACTTCAAGCTTTGAGTTTTGGAGTTTCAGCAGAGTTGGGGGGAGGGCTCGCTTCGTACCCAGCTTTCCCTCTTTTCAAGGTTTGCGATAGGCTAGGTGAAGTTAAGGAGTATGCAGTATGGGAGTCGAACCTGAACTTTCCGCTTGACTGGCAAGTATTCTACCCTTGGACCATCGACACTGGTATGAATGTGGTTTACATAAATAATTACTTTCTAAGTGTTGGTCTGTAGAGATTTGATGGATTTCAAGAATGATCAAGAATTGATTTCAGTTGGACAGAGAGTACTGGACAACTGTTTCATCCTAGCTGGCGACTCTTCAGCAGAATGCGTCCAATACCCCATCAGAGATTGAACCAAAGGCCTTCATTGAGCATTAACCCCCTGGAACGGAGTCTACTAACCCATGAATTTTAACTTTTGTCTAACCGCAGTGTACAGCGCAACTCACCACCAGCCAGTGTTGTCACCGAGTATTTTTTTCCTCACATCCAACTTAGTGGACACCACTGATCACGAATTCCCACTAGATCTTCAGGCAATATCACCAGCTATTTGATTTCATCCCAGTCGGTGAGCTCACCTTGCAACCTGAAGGTCCCGAGTTCGATCCCTGGCAGTGGAGTCATGTGTGAGTACTACTGGAGAGTCCCCAAAAAGAAGAAACGAAACAGTTGTCGATTAGTCCCTGACTTTCAGTTGGTTCTTTAACTGAAGTCACTTCTTCGTCAGTCTTAAAATAAATAAATAAATTACGGAGAGTTTTTCAGTATCAAATATGATTCGCAG